TAAAGTGCCATTAGCTTTTCTGATGGCTTCGTCACACTGCCGACTCATGTTCATCTTGGAGTCCACTAGGACTCCAAGATCCCTTTCCACTTCCGTGCCACTAATCAGGTCATTTCCTAGGCAGTAGGTATGCTGGACATTTTTCCTCCCTAGGTGCAGCACTTTGCATTTCTCCTTGTTGAATTGCATTCTGTTGTTTTCCGCCCATATGTCCAACCTGTCCAGGTCTGCTTGTAGCTGTTCCCTGCCCTCCGGTGTGTCCACTTCTCCCCACAGTTTTGTGTCATCCGCAAACTTGGACAGAGTACACTTCATTCCCTCGTCCAAGTCGCTGATGAAGACATTGAAGAGTATCGGTCCAAGGACCGAGCCCTGCGGGACCCCACTGCCCACACCCTTCCAGGTCGATACCGACCCATCCACTATGAGTTTTTCATTTTAGTATAACCCAAACACCAAAATTCAGTAAAGATGAAAAGTTCCTCACCTGACCAAGTAACAAAGGTACATGATTTAGTTTCAGAATGGCTCAGAACATCTAAATTGAAAGTGATTTTCTTCTCTGTTTGTATCTTTTGAATCCACTTAGAAAACATTGATAAGCAAATGTTTAGAGGAACACCTTCGGCAACTTGATTCTTGATGGAACAAAGAAGAGGCACATACAGTTACCCGTTAGCGTGCTGACGCTCATCTCATGCTTACAGTTCAGAAACAATACATCCACTTTTAGATTTTGGTCAGGATATTTACATTCCTGTACCGCTGTAAACAAGATTGAGATTGCAAACTTGATTAGTTGCAATGTAAGCACCTTGTGATGTGCTATATAAAGATGATACCTGTGTTATTCCAGTGAGTTCTGTACAAAATTCAGAGAGAACCGGGTGTTCCCAGGGCTGGACATAGGTGTGGAATTCAGATTCAATCTCGCCAGTTGACGTGTTTAATAAAATGGCTGGAAATTCAACTAGAAAAAAACAGTGAACAATACTCACACACATCGATAAATTGACTTAAATTAGAGTTTAAATATACGACTTAAAGCCAGTATCAAAAAAAGGTACAAAAGTCAAATACACCCATCATGGGCGACTGGTGCCACCTTAGTGGGGGGGGCACATGCCCCTCCCTCAGCAACCAGTCACCGAGTGGGGGGGAGGTGGGGGGTCCCCCCGCAGCCTATCTCACCAACCCCTGACACATCACCACTGATACCCCTAAAGAGAAGAGAATTTCTATGAGTGGAATTTTTCCCATTTCCTGCGTATTACGGACGACACCGTTTCTGGATCCCGTGTGTTGCAGCACCTCAGGGTGTGAACGAGAGCACACGAAGAGCGCTCGCGACCCAGCAGGCTGTAATATCCAAGTCATCCCCGAGTAAGTGATTGATTTTCCAGGGGTAGGCCAGGCCGGGTTCTCTGAGTAGATGCGAGATGCTGTATTAGACCAACAGAGGAGTCGTGGGGACCAGCGCTCTGGGAATGAATGCACCTGGCTCTGCAGCAAGATCCCAGGGGCTTTTTCCCCCAAGAGAAAAACCCCGCTCGGGTGGCCCCCGCGGCACTTGCCGGCCTAACGAGGCAAAACTCCCGCCGCTGCCACCTACTGATCTCGGGGCTGCGGCGGGGCAGCCCCCCCGCCCCCCCCCACGGG